TACTAACAAAACTTGACACAAGTACTATCTAAATAACTGTTGGGCTATATTGTTTAGGGAATAACAAAAGAAAAACAGCCAGCCTGATAGAATTGTAGCTTACCAGTAGAGTGCCATCCTAGATAGAATAAGGGCCTGAGTTCAAGTCTCAGTACTCCTCAAAACAAAAACAAAAATACAACCTATACATGTGCGGTATAGATAAAAAAAAAATTCACAATATTTTCTCTTGGTGCTTGGATGCATCTAGGGATACACCTAATCAGTTTTTTTGTTTTGCTTTCTTTTCCTGGGACTTGAACTCAGGGCCTAAGTGCTGTCCCCGAGTTTCTATTGCTCAAGGATGGCACTTGAACCACAGTTATACTTCAGGCTTATTTTTTGGAAGCTTTTTGGAAATAATAGTCTCACAAACTTTATTGCCCAGCCTGGCTTTGAACTGTGGTCCTCAGATCTTAGCTTCCTGAGCAGCTAGTATTATAGTCAGTGAGCCAGTGGCTCACGACCAATCAACTTATTGATTGGTCAAAGATTTTGTAATGAATGTCCAATTTTATCACATCATTTTTCTATTTTTGTCAATATAATCAGATGATTTTTCTTTCTGTTCTTCTCATGTGATTTGCATTAGCTGCTTTTTCTATGTTAAACCTATCTTGTTCTTCTGAAATAAACTTAGTTTGGTCAGTGTGCTGTTTCAATGTATCATCTAATTTGGTTGAAGAATATTTTGTTTAGGCCTGTAATATCTATTGTCCTAAATGAAATTATCTTGTAATTTTCCTTTTTCATATTATGGTTGTCAAGTTTCCAGTACCTTATGGTTGGTACCTGAATTAGAGACATTGATAATCCAGGTTGCCATTGTTCAATCAGATACCCAAAGGATTCACCATGCAGTCACTCTCTGAGAAGCCATTCCTCTTTCCAGCTTACTTACTGCTATGGCCCAGACCATCAGAAGGAACCACAATCCTAGGGTAGTTAACAGAGTACTTCTCTTATTCAGACACTTGAGTTCCCATTTCTGTTCTCTCTCTTCCACAAATCTGTCTAGTTTTCTGCTCTTCAGCCTCTTAGTTCTTGTCACTACCTTTAAGATTGAAGGACAAGCCAGGCGCTGGTGGCTCACACCTGTAATCCTAGCTACTCAGGAGGCTAAGATCTGAGGATCGCGGTTCAAAGCCAGCCTGGGCAGGAGAGACCGTGAGACTCCTATCTCCAATAAACCACCAGAAAACCAGAAGTGGCGCTGTAGCTCAAGTGGTAGAGCGCTCGCCTTGAGCTGAAGAGCTGAAGGACAGCGCCCAGGCCCAGAGTTCAAGCCCCATGACCGACAAAAAAAAAACAAAAAACAAAGATTGAAGGACAAATGTCAGGCTCATCTTGATAAGCTTCCATTCTCACCTGAGTTTTGGCCCCATAATTGCTCACTACTATGGTAGTTTTACAGTGTCTTTCAGCAGATTTTTTATTATCATTAACAAGTTATATAAAGGCAACTCATTTTGATGTGTCTATATGTGTGTAAACAGATTTGTAAAAATATATTTTGTCAATCTTTAGTAGTTAGGAGCAGAAAAGGTTATCTGAATCAACTTAATCTGTCATTGGATTGAAAACTATCTAATAATTTAATTAAAATGTTTTTTAATTGTAGCATATTCAGAAAAATGAAAGAAATATACTCACAAGTTAACCCCCCAAGCAAATATGCTGATAGTCTGGGGGAAAACTGAGGTGTTTTTTGGTTTGGTTTGGTTAGTTTGTTTTTTTTTAAGACAAGGTCTTACTACAATTGAGATGATGGATGAGGTTGGGAGAGATGGAGAAGAATGATAAGGGTGGCACTGATCAAGATGTATTGAGTTTGTAAACTGACATACTGAATTATAACCCTTTTGTACAACTACTTAAAGATAATAGATGGGGCTGGGAAGGTGGCTCAGTAGTAGAGTGCTTGCCTTGCATGCCTGAGGCCCTGGGTTCGATTCCTCAGCACCATATAAGCAAAAAGAAAAAAGCCGGAAGTGGCGATGTGGCTCAAGTGGTAGAGCGCTAGCCTTGAGCTGAAAAGCTGAGGGACAGCATCCAGGCCCAGAGTTCAGACCCCACAACCGGACCCCAAAAAAAAAAAAGATAATAGAACTAGCTGGGCACCAGTGGCTCATGCCTGTAAACCCAACTAGTCAGGAAGCTGAAATCTGAGGATCATGGTTCAAAGCCAGCTCAGATAGAAAACCCTATGAAACTCTTATTTCCAATAAACTACTCAGCTAACGCTGACAAGTGCACTGTGGCTCAAGTGGTAAAGCACTAGCCTTGAGTACAAAGAAGCTCAGGCACAGCACCCAGGTCCTGAGTTCAAGGCCCAGGACCTGCAAAAAATAATATTAATAATAATAGTATAATAATTAAACCACAAAGAAGACAGGTCTTGCTAGAGATCTTAGCCTCGGATCAAACTTGCCATCCTTCTCATCTCAGGCTTGTCAAGTGCTGAGATGACAAGAGTATACTTCTTGTTTTTCTCTTTGGTACATTTTTACACAGCTATGCTCATGGTGGGCAAATAATTTCACATGCTGTTTTTCCCATAACCTTATTCTAATTACTTACTTACTGTAAATATTATTTTTCCCAAAAAAGCTATTAAATTCTGTTAGTTTTTTTTGTTCTCCCAAGAGAATCAGCATCTACTTCATACATTTCAGAACTAGCCAATAAAGTGAAGTTGATGGATGGGTGGAAAGAAAAGTAGGCCTCTAGCCTGTCCACTGGTCCTTTTGGTCACAGCTCAAAGTCTTGGACAATGGAGCTTTGGATTCCAGAAACAAGGTATGGGGGAAAAGAGAGGAAAGGCCTGGCCAGAATTAAAAGAATATTCCAGGATGGAAGCCTGCTATGTAGCCAATTTTAACCCTTTCCTGATCTCAGCTGTGGGTCATGGAGCACAGTCAAACAGCTGATTTCCCTAATCCTTCCTATCTCTATGTACTCTGTACACCTGCCATCTTCTGCAATCATGCTAACAATGATACCCACTTCTGCCCAAGCCTGCTAATTAGTTGATGACCTTCTCTCCTTTCTTATGCTAATGTCTTCACTTCAAGTTGTAATTAATCTCTGGTTTCCCGCTAAACACCAACCTGTCTGGCATTTGGAACAGATGATTAATGAGTAGTATGTCACATGGTCCTGGATGAAAACAAACTCTCTCATCATGACAGATACTATAATCCTCCTCTATCTACTGGAAACAAAGATTACCTGATCTTGGCAAGATCTGTTCTTTAGAGCAGCAGATCTCAATCTGACAATTTTCTAAAGCTCTAAGTACTCCAGTGCATATTCCAGCATACATGCTGGAGCGTGAATCTTTTCTCTTCCACACAGCAAAATATGTGAGAGATGAAAGTGAGTGGAAGTGGCATGCCATAAATTAATCATCTTTTTCATCAGATAAAACATTTGGAGGGGGATGGGAAGGTGGCTCAGTGGTAGAGCTCTTGCCTTGCATGCATGAGGCCCTGGGTTCAATTCCTCAGCACCACATAAGCAAAAAAAAAAAGGGGGGCTGGGAAGGTGGCTCAGTGGTAGAGCGCTTGCCTTGCAAGCCTGAGGCCCTGGGTTCGATTCCTCAGCACCATATAAGCAAAAAGAGAAAAGAGCCGGAAGTGGCGCTGTGGCTCAAGTGGTAGAGCGCTAGCCTTGAGCTGAAGAGCTAAGGGACAGCACCCAGGCCCAGAGTTCAGGCCCTACAACCGGATCCAAAAAATAATAATAATAATTGGAGATTTCGGTACAATGTTATTACTTAGTAAATCTCCAAAGTTCTACTGCTTCTAGGATTTTTGGCTTAGTATATAACATAAATTTAGAAATTTACCTTGTTATTTCTTCTATTTTGTTTCATTGTCTCTCTTTTTTGCTTCTGGGATGCCAGTTGCATACATATGTTAGTATTTTTTTTTGGGGGGTCCGGTCATGGGGCCTGAACTCTGGGCCTGGGCGCTGTCCCTCAGTTCTTCAGCTGAAGGCTAGCGCTCTACCACTTGAGCCACAGCGCCACTTCCGGCTTTTTTGTTTTTGCTTATGTGGTGCTGAGGAATCGAACTCAGGGCCTCAGGCATGCAAGGCAAGCGCTTTAACCACTGAGCCACCTTCCCAGCCCTGTTAATATATTTTTTTATTCCAATTAACTAGCCTAATAGCTGGAAGTATAGCTCCATCTAGCCACGTACAGAGCATAAAACCAAGTATTCAAGCCACAGCACCTCAGATCCCAGCCTCCTGCACAGTTAGGGCTACAGGTGTGAAGCACTAGTGCACAGCTTAAAGCTCTCCATTTCTAAGCCATAGTCATGTTCCTATGTGCTTCTTGGCTACATTTGCAGGAGAGGTGGCAGAATTGGTGGAGGGTCCTCTGACTCAGCCACTCCCTTTTCTTTCTGTTGTGCATGCATATCCACACCAATACACAGCACTCTCCCTTCGCTCTTTCACTTAAGGCTGGTGCTCTAACACTTGAGCTACATACACCTCCAGTTCTAGCTTGTTGCAGGTTAATTGGATTAAGAGTCTAACAGACTATCCAGGCTGACTGAGTTGCTAAACATTTCAGCCACTCTTTCTCACCAGGTGAATTATATACTAAAGCATATAATTTTCTAGGGACAGGTGATAGTTCTTATGAAGGAGAAATACAAGCCAATGTGGTAGTAAAGAGAAAGTGGGAAGTAGACACAGCATGTGAGTGTGGCATGTATAGATGCAGACTATGTAACCTTAACGCAGGACCACACACCATCCACAGACTGAATCACCACTGCACTTCCCTTGGGAAACAGAAGGGCTTTGTGATGCAGTCTGCTTGGCTTGGTTCTGCCCTCTGTGAGGTGGATATGATAGGGTCCAGCACTGAGTGTCATTACTCATAAGGACCTTAAACTCATAGACAGGGGGATGGCTGGTTTCCTCATGCTAATAAGATGTAAACTATGTTGAGCCAAACAGAAGTGCTGTGGAGCATTGGATATCCCTTATATGCTTATGGCTCCATCTTTGTCATTATTCTAATTGTCTGGCACGTGACAAGGAGTTACCATGGAGTGAGGCATGAACCTAAAAAGAGATGCTGCCGGGTAGGGAGACGCTCTGATCTCAGCTGAACTAATTCAAATCTCAGAGAAACCTTTAAATTCTCTGTTTCTCCATATTTCTTCCATCCCTACATTTATACCATACATTAACTTTTAACTCAAGTGTTTATAAAAGAATAAAAGAGGGGCTGGGAAGGTGGCTCAGTGGTAGAGTACTTACCTTGCATGCATGAGGCCCTGGGTTCAATTCCTCAGCACCACATAAGCAGAAAAAACTGGAAGTGGCACTGTAGCTCAAGTGGTAGGGCGTTAGCCTTGAGCTGAAGAGTGAAGGGACAGTGCCCAGACCCAGAGTTCAGGCCCCACAATCGAGAAAAAAGAAAGAATAAAGTATTGGAGAAGTAAGGGAAACACACATGGTGCTTGCTTCTCTGAACCTATTTACCTGGTCCTCCAGACAATATACACTAATTGAAAACCCAAGAACTTCCCTATTTGGCTTGAGTTTAGAACTAAATATAAAAAACATAGGATTTCAGAAGTGCCCCTCCCCCGAATGGGAGAGCTTTCTCCTTGGAAAACTTTGTAAGCAGAAGTCTTTGGGTTGTCAGAAACACTCTTCCTTTAATTTGTTCAGCTTTTCCCCCTTGAGTCCATCTTCAGCTCCCTGCAGGATTTGTCATGTGATTGGGGACAGGAGGAAAGAGAATAGATTTTGATTGTTTGTTTTTTGGGTCCGGTCGTGGGGCCTGAACTCTGGGCCGGGGCACTGTCCCTCAGCTCTTCAGCTCAAGGCTAGCGCTCTACCACTTGAGCCACAGCACCATTTCTAGCTTTTTTCTTTTTGCTTATGTGGTGCTGAGGAATCGTACCCAGGTCCTCATGCATGCAGGGCAAGCGCTCTACCACTGAGCCACCTTCCCAGCCCCGAGGAAAGAGAATAGAGAGCCTCAAAGTAAATCAAAGATAGCCAGAGAAGGGAAGTATTGGGGTACAAAATTGGTGGAATGGAGGAAAAGGCAATGGACAGGAATATATAAAATACGGACAGGTACATAGAAAAGGAAAAGCACGTGTTTGTGATCTTTATCTCATTTTGGACACCAAACGTGTGAAATGTGATTGTGAAATAGCTTCACATGCTAATACTATTTTCTCTCACTTTTTTTTTTTTAGCATCACCGAAAGGTCAGGCAAAGGGCTAGAGCATCAAGAGGTAAAGTGTCAATCTCTTCTCTGACTAAGGCAGGCTTCCTATGGCTCCTGTTCTTCTGTGACCCTTGGTGCCAGGAAATGTGTGTTGTAACCACTTAACTTTTATGTCTCTAGATGGGAAAACAGAATGGCCAAAAATTAGAAATGTTCCAAAATTCTCTTAATTCATTTAAGACTAAAGAATTAAAACAAGATAGATATCCTTAACTGTTGTTTACTAGTTTTCTGACCTTGTGCAATTCAGCTCACGCCTTACCTAAAAAATCAGGTATAATATTGAAAAAATTATTTTTGGTAAGAGACAGCATGTTGTAACTGGTAATGGTATAAACAAACATGACTCTTACATCTTCAGTGCCCTAGGCCAAATAAAGGCCTGACTGTTTTGCTTATTATAGGGTGTCCCTGAAAATACTTCCATAACATATAACACTGTGTCTTATTTCTCAGCTAGGAGATTTGCCCAAGGAGAAGCTGAGAAGCCCCAGAAACTGCTGTCTGTCATGAAAAGGTGATTTCTTACCCTTTGCAGTTTCCCAACTCCCAGCCTGGTCCATGAAGAATTCTTGGTCTGGCATGGGGCAGGGATGAGGAGAGGGATAATGCCTGGGAAGAGACATACATGAAGGGAGTCTACTTGACTGGCTGAAAGGTTGCCCAGACAGAGTGAAGTTCAGGTGTCTCAGGAGGGAAAAGCAGGTCACCCAATTCTACTCTGTGCTAGGGTCACAATAGCTCTGTAATTCAGGATTCAACTAGTGTATCATTCACAAAAGAAATTATATGGGTTGAACTCAAATTATGCAGCCAAGAGAATGGATTCTGAATAAAGAAGTCATCAGGGTCAGCTTCTCTTTACAGCTAGCTATGCTAGGGCAGAGTCCCAAGGCTGAACTTTTCTCACATTGGCTTCTGTGATCTGACTTCAGGGAGGTCACTTCCTGGGCCTTACACTTTCAGAGGACAGTCTGCCATCTTATTCTTAAGGTTTCTTAATATAATGGGTATAGTAGCATGAATATCTGCTACTTCTCAGAATGAGGAGCTCCTACAAGGAGCTCATTTTCCACAGTGTAGGCCTAGAGAACCTGTAGGACTGAGAATGGTGCAGTATCCCCAGCCCCACACTTCCAAGGAGGCAGAATCCTCTATTGTTAACATGCTTCTCTTCCCAGCCAGGGCTGGCTTCCTCAAGAGAAAAGCGTGCGGAAGCTCCTGTGTGCAGATCCCCACTGCAAAATCTGCAATACTGCAGCTCTGGAGATTCAGGAGTTGCTGAAGGCTGACACCAACCAATTCTCCACCACTTTACTGGGGCCATCTGATATAAAGATGTTGCCCAGGTCAAACATGTCTTTTGAGCAGAATCTGGAGCTTCATTCCCAGAACTCTGGAGATATTTCACTGGCAACTGTAACCCCAAGACAAACAGAACTAACAGAACATTTAGCTCAGCCAACCAATGTAGTCAGCATCCAAGAATACTGGGCTGATCATCTCCAACTAGTGCAGGACATTCAGTTGCCAGAGACGTCCCTGGACTCAGAGATGGTGGCTTCTTCAAGATTTGAGGGAACTATGATTACAGTGAATGAGCAGGAGATACAGATCACTGCTAACTGTGCCCAGGGGAACAAACAACACTATCGTCTAAAGGCCCAAGACTCTTTTCTGCCATTGAACTCAAAGATCACTAAACAGACACATCCTACAGCCTTGCACATAGGTTTATTCCTCCCTACCCACCTGGCATTCCTGTGTCCTGAAGTACTGAGGCTTCTCGAAGTACATGTAAAAAAATGGATCCACTTCCAGAAGTGGGGACTCCCCAGACGTGTGGAAAATTCTCTAAGGGAGCTTATGCCAGATCCAACTTTGTTTTGCCTATCTAGAAAAAACCTACAGACTTGCTCCTTCCCAAGTAGTACTTCTAAAGTCACTGCTCACATAATTGGTACCATACCCTACCAGTCCTGGCATTCATGTTTGGCTTATCAGCACACACAATCCCTCTGGGTTTCTGAGTGGTCTGTTACAAGCCTAGGGAAAAGAGTCCAACAAAACCAGAATTGTAAGGTACACCCCCTGCCCTGTAGAGCAGTGGCAGTAATAAGTGGCCACCGTCCACTGCCTAAAAGACAGACTAATGACTCAAGGAGCAGCGTGTGGCAAAGATACCACCAGCTATTCTGTGGCCTACCTTCTCTACACAGTGAGTCCCTGGTTGCCATTTTCTTAGGCCCTCAACGACTCTCCAAAAATATGTCCAAGCTGTCTTTGAAGGATCTTCATCTCTTCAAAGACCTCTCCTACCTCCCCTTGCTGAGTCAGCCTGGCCTTGTGTTAGCTCAAGTCACCCCCTCCCCACCTTGTCCAAATGGGGAGTATCCAACCCAGCATCAGGAGGCTCTGATCACCGTCCCAATTCTGACTCTGGCTGAGTGTGAAGCCTTAGAATGGCACCTGCTGCAGAGGCAGCTCCAGCTCCAGTGGGGCCTGCCAGCTGCCTTGCATCCATCTCAGCATGCCCAGAGCCCCGTGCGGTGTGAACTGCATAACAAAGTCCAGTCCTGTGAGATTGTGAAAGCTTCCTGGTCAGGGAAGCCCTTCTCAATCCTCACCAGAGAACTCCACTTCTTCCCAGAGCATGCCCACAAGCTACTGGGATTCCACCTCCAGAAACACTTGATGCACCTTCGCTGGGGCCTGCCTGAGAAGATACAGAAGTCCATCCAGTTGGTTCATTCCTCCACTGGCCAGCAGCCCCTGTCCTGGAGCAACAAAGCCCTACCCAACATGAGCATCTCCAAGCCTGGGGCCCCAGAGGCTAAAGGAGATGGTTGTCTCTTCTCCCCCATGATTTCACAAGTGTCTGTCCCCATGCCACATTTTTTTGTCCAAGCTCAGGCAATGTTGCAAAGCCACATTGATTCCAAATGTGGGCAGATTCACCAGGGCAAGGTCCCTGATCTTGTATACAGTTCCTGGGAATGCAGAATTCCTGGGGTGCTAGCAATGGCTCCCTTCGCTGACATGCTACAAGGGCAGCCTCTGGAGCTGCAGGCAGCAAGTGAACCTGATCTATATCACAAAGTAACGCCCTGTAAACCAGTGGCCCTTGGCCAGCAGCAACAAGCCTTATCAAATACTACTACTAAACACCATCAGCTGCTCCAAACCCTGCCTGAGGAAACCATTGAGAAACTGGAGACAACTTTACGGCATAAGTATCTGGCCTTTCTGTCAGGCCTGCCTGTTGTTTACTATGTGAGTCTCTCTAAAGTCAAATGCCCAGCAACCACTAGCCAACCTATCATCACAGATATGGTGCCTATGCCTATTACAATCCCACCAGAGCCTCTGGCTCAGATGCATTCCCTTGAAGCCTCAGGTAAGAGATCTGGACCATGCTTTCAAGATGATAAACCTTGGAAAGACACTGCAGAAAAGTCCCAGCTTGAACTTCAGATGGAAGCAAACACTAAAACATGGTCTCCAAAGGGAAAGATATATTCTGCTGGCTCTTCATTCAAAGTGCATATGCTTGCAAACTTAAATTTCCACCTGAAGAAAAAGGTCCTAGAGATACGATTGGGAATTCCTGAAGGTGCAAGGAAGTCCAGGAAACCAAATGTAGCAGTTCCAGAGAACAAATCAACACAGGAGTGTCCTCAGAGTAAGAAACACCACGGAAACACAGTGCTCCAGGAACTACCTACCCCTCTGTGCTCTCCTCCTGCCCCAGCTTCAGAGTGGCTCCACCCTAAAGAAAAGCAGGCCACTGAACTAGATGCAATGCAGCACAACCAAAAACACCCTGGTCTGAAAGCCGTGCCCCCTAGTTTTGTCCCCTGGGTCTCCAAGATCCCCCAACCTTATGAGGACATGACTGAGTCTCAGGTGTTTTGTGTTCAGGTTCAGACCAATGTGAGCCACCCCAGCCTGGAGAAACCCAGGGGCCCTGAGCCCCAAAGCCCTGGGAAAAGCAAGGCCTCAGCCCATGTGTCCATGCTGGCAAGAAAGAGAGAGGACCACCCAGAGAAGCTCGAGGCAGCAGGAGACTTTGGAGGAAGAGATGCTGGGTTTGAGGACAGACACCATGCCCAAGTTCAGAGGCCAGTGGGGATACTCCTGAACAAGACACCCCAAGGCTCATGGCGATGGAAATACGGTTTTCATCCTGTGAAGCCCTGCCAACAAAATTCCCAAGCTAAACTCCCAAAGCCACTGTCAGGAGTTCCTAGAAGAAGAGAATCTGAGCCTGACTTGCTTCACAGACAAACCAATCCAAATGGCATCCTCTCACCTGAAAGGACCCCCAACAACGCGCAGCCTGTGGCAGCCCACGCTCCCCAGGGCCAGCCTTTCCTGGACCAACCAACTCGGGATCAGCTTTTGCAGAGCCCAGCTTGCAAAGGTCAGGTTTTGAAGGGGCTAATGAGGCCAGCCCCTGCTCACAGGGAGACCAGACTTGCAGACACTGGCCTGAGAAGTAAGACACAATCCTTTCTATACTGTGTGAGCCCCGAGATGAAAGGCAAAGGGCACCTGGAATCTACATTTTCTACAGCTGGCAAGAAAGCCAAACCCAGAATGGAAAATGTCCTACGCAGCCTGGCTCATGCCCCAAGTCCCATGAAGAGAACCAAGACAAAGAAGCCAATGGAGCACCCCAAGGTCCAGCCTGATCCTACTGAGAGCCCAGTGGGCACAGCCTCCTTAGCAGGTCCTCCTTCCCCAGGCAATAAGCTTCGCCTGCGCTCCAGACAAGGCTCTGCCTCAGTGCTGGGCCAACCCCTCCACTGCCCTCCGCACTGCCCTCTAGTGCCTAAATAAACACAATTGATCAGAATGACAAGTTCTTCTGTAATATGCAGTAAAGGTGGAGGGCATCACGCCAGAGATTTCAGACCCAGGCCATAACACTAGGACTTGTACATGTCAAGTCCAGTCACTCACCCCTGTAGGTCAAATAAAGAGGCAAAAAGGACAGAGATTTTCTATGGCAGCCACAGAAAGACTGAGCTTTAGTATACTTCAGCCATCTTCCAGACTACAAGCATTTAATCCCTTGGATTTAGTAGGGAGAATGGAACAGAGGTGAGAAGCTATGTCACAGGTGTGTTCTGAGGTGGTTAGAGATGGTCTGATAATACATCATCTCAGGATGAGTCAGGTGGAGCTTTGTTGCAGTAAGGGCCATTGACACCTGGCAGGTTGTTCAGCACTTGGATTGTGAGACAGTTACATGATGACTACAGCAGAGAATGGCTCAGGGCAAAGGCCATAGATGCAAAATGGAGATTGGGCTGCCAAGCTTTTAAGATGATGACTTCAAGAGAAAATGGAAGTTGAACATGGTTGCACATGCTTGTAATACCAATACAGGGGAAGCTGAAACAGAAGGATCTTGACTTCAAAAGTATCCCTAGTTGTCATGAGACAACAGAGAGTCATAAACTCATAAACAACAAAGAGTTAAAGAGAAAGGTTCTGGGCATGGTAGCAAATACCTCTAATCCCTCCACTCAGGAGGCTGAGGAAGGGAGGATCCTAATTTTGAGGGAAGCCTGGGCTTATATATAGTGAGTTGTTCTCTCAGAGTGAGACGGGGAGATAAAGAGAGACAGACAGACAGACAGATAGACAGAGAGGCAGAGAGAGACAGAGAGGAGTGGAGAGACAGAAAAGAAGAGAAGAGCAATTAGTAATAGAAAATGTAATGAAGCTGAGAGCCGGTGGCTCAGACCTGTTGTACTAGCTACTCAGGAGGCTGAGATCTGAAAATTGTGGTTTGAAGCCAGCAGGGGAAGGAAAGTCCATGAGACTCTTATTTCAAATAAACTACTCAGAAGAAGCTGGAAGTGGCACTGTAGCTCAACTGGTAGAGTACTAGCCTTGAACAAAAGAATCTCAAGGAAAGTGCCCAGGTCCTGAGTTCAAGCCCCAAGACTGGCAAAAAAATTATAATAAAAAATTATAATAAATTCCTTCAAGGAGTTTTGGTCAAACAAAAGTACAAGAAGTAGAACATTTAGGTTCAATGTACAAACCACAGAAAGAGAGAGAAAGGAAAGAGAAAGAAAGGAAGGAAGGAAGGAAGGAAAGAAAGAAGGAAGCAAGATGGAAGAAGGAAGGAAAGGAGGGAAAGAGGGGAGGGATGGGGGAGGGAAAAGGGGAGGAAGGGTGGGAAGAAGAGAAAGAGGGAGGAAGAGGAAGGGAAGAGGGGAAGGAAAGAAAGAAAAAAAGGAAAGAGAGAGAAAAAGAAAGGAGGGAGGGGGGAGAGAGAGAATATGAAGCAATAGTACCATGAGTGTTTTCTAACAGCTTCCACACAGAGATGTTGAATAGTTGGGAAAGATGCAGTTGAGAGAATTAAACATAATACATATGAAAGAAAGGAAATAACTGCTGGGACATATAATGGGAGCAATTTCCTCAGTTGAGTGGCCAGTGTTGACTTCAAGCATAGACAACTGGCTCCTATAAGTGCACAGAACGGGGCCAGAGGCATGGCTTAGCAGTAAAATGCCTGACTAGCAAGCACAAGACACTCAATTCAAGCTCCAGAACCTAAAATGTTGTGTTGCCTGATTTTGTTACATGGTAGAAAAGTACAGAGAATTTAGTGCTAATGAGAGAGTGCTGTATGAATCAGAAGAAAGGTATAGCTTAAAGTGTGGGCAAAGACCCAGAGGGTTGAATAAGAAAAGCTAAAGTGCCAGGCACTGGTGGCTCACGCCTCTAATCCTAGCTACTCAGGAGGCTGAGATCTGAGGATTGTGGTTCAAAGCCAGCCCAGGCAGAAAAGGCTATGAGACACTTATCTCCAATAAACCACTCAGAAGACTGGAAGTAGTGCTGTGGCTCAAGTGGAAGAATGTTTGCCTTGAGCTAAAGAGCTCAGAGACAGTGCCCAGACCCAGAGTTCAAGCTCCAAGACTGACAAAAAAAAAAAAAAAAAGGCGAAGTCAAACAATGGAAAGTGAAGAGGAATTCTGGAAGTTACTATTAAGGTCTAAGGTATAGATGGTACTGTGAGAGCCTAGATGGACTTGAAATGGTGACTGAAGCTGTCGACCATGCGTGTGCAGTGGTAGTTCTTGGAAACCTGGAGCAGAAGTAGAGTTCCCTGAAGTCATGAAGTCTGAGGAAGATAATGGACTGGAGACAATAGGACAAGGGTGGCATCCTAGTGCTACGTAGGGACCAGGAAGGATTTGGGGATGTATGAACGAAAGGAGGAAAATGGGAAGCAGGATGACAAAAAAGCTGCCCTGAGCAGATAGGATGGACCCCTGTTGACCACCTCACATCCCTCAGGGGGTGGGGTGGGGAGCATGGCAGGAAGTGCTGAGCTCCCTGCAGGGTGGTATGAGAGAAGGGGCGCCCTTGGCCATGAAGGAAATCCAGGATCAGTCACCATTCCACCAAACCAGGAAGAAGAGTCAGGACTTGCTTCATCTGACAGGAACCCACTATTTAGCACAGTGTGTACACCACCAGCAGGATGCAGAAAGCTCAGATGGGAAGAAGCATGGGTGGGTCCCTCCTCTGAGGGTGGTTGTGTGCACAAAGATGGGCATCCAGCCCTACTTGGTCCCCAGGGAAGAGAGACATGAGGTCTGGGCCTGCTGAGCCAACAATCTCCAGGTGTTTTCCTGAAGCATCTTCATAGGGCAAAGGAGGTCATGTGACAGGCACATCCTCTCTGCATGCTGGAAGTTAGGCAGAGAGCCCCAGAGCTGGGAGACCAGAAGGGACCCCACGAATGAAGGGAATTGACTAGGAAGGGTCACAGTAGCCTCAAGTGGGAAGCTGGGTTAGTGTGCACACATCCTGGTTTAGGGTGGAGCCGATCCTTCCCATGGCCCCCACAGGCTCCTGACTGTCATATACCCACATGGGCTCGTGTAGCTCACCAAAGTCCCTCAGTGAAATGCTGAGAGCAGAGACTTAAGCTAGAACTTAAACCTTCAGGATCAAAGGACACTGCTACAGGATAATGATGGAGAATGACCGCTTCTCAACCTATCCCTAACCATAGCCCACCCTTCACCTTCCTCTACAACAAGAGAGGAGAAGCTTAAAGAAGCAAAAGCTTCATGAGGGTCCACATGCGAGAATTTACAAGTCCAGATTTAGGGAAGATGCTTGGAATAGATCAATGTGTGCTTGGAAACAGGGTTTTCCTCTAGCACATGAACAGCCCTGACCTCCTAATGGTCTTCCTTTGGCCATCCAGTAGAGTACCTCAGAATTGTCTAGAAGGAATTTCTGGCAACTAAACATGAAGAGACAGAGGAGAACAGCATCCCTACATCATTCTTCTCAGTGGGAAATCATAGAGGAGAGAGACCATGGCTGTTTCTTTTTTTCTTTACTGAAGCCCAGAAAGGGTAGGGCAAAGAACACAGGATGACCACAGGAAGAAGCCACATGGAGATGCTGCTTCCTGCTTGATGGAGAAAGTAGGGGTGTCTGCTGCTTTACCAGCGCACTGAGGCTTAATGCTCACCTGCACTCTGGGACCCATGGCCTAGGCCAGGCCTATGGTAGAAGGAAGGACAGGAATGGTTGCTGTGTGCACTGCAAGGAGAGGAAAGAGGGGATCAGGAGGGTAGAGCACATCTGTAATCTAGCATTTGAGAGACTAAGGAGGAGGATCAGGATCAAACAAACAAAGAAAAGAGAGCCTAGCAATAATGGCATGTGCCTAATTACTCAGGAAGCTGAGACTTGGAGATTATGGCAACCCTGTGAGGATCCATCTCCAGTTAACTAGCAAAAAGCCAGCCTGGAGTTATGATTCAAGTGGTAGAATACCGGCTGTTATCAGGCAAGTAAGGAAGAGGAAATCCTGAATTCAAGTCCCAGTATGAGAGAGGGAAAAAAGAGAAGAAGCAGGAGGAAGAAGAGGAGGAAGAGAAGGAGGAGGAAGAGGAGAAGGAGGAAAAGGAGAAGAGAGAGAGAGAGAAAGAGAGGGGGGAGGGGAGGAAGATAGACACCCTTGAATTCACTAGGGATATAAGAAGTCAGCACAATCTAGATTTGAATAGGGCTGGGGACACAGAGAAACACATCCCTACTAGGTCTGGCTGTGCTTGCAGAGGGACACCCATTCTCTTCACCAGAGACTTGAGGCCAGGACCCTCCACACTTGGTCTGGTTGAGCACATGAGGAGAAGGGGCCTGGGGAAGGGGCCAGAGACAGATCTCATTTCCAGAAGGAGAAGTGAACTCTGCCAGCTGCCCCCTTTCCTGCCTCATCCTTCTCCTCTACCATATCTCCTGTTGGTGCACAGCCAGGCAAGGCACACACTGGGGGATTTCCAGAGTGTATCGCTTCCAAGGTCAGGCCTGCTCCACAGGCCACAGGGGCAGGGCCCTGGGCAGGCAGCCTGACCCACGGCAATCAGACATTGGGAAGGAAAACCTTCTTTGTGGTAAACAGAGCTGGCAGCTGGGGTGTGTCAGGGAAAATGGGGGAAGACAAAGTGAGAGGCCAGAGCAGAATCACAGCCGGAGTCAATGGGCCAGGGAAACAATCAGCCACACAGATACACATGGGAAAAGGTACAGTCACCTACATTAGCCACACAGATGCTAATTCAGAAGAGGCACAGAGCTGTGCAGGAAACACAGCCACATAGACTGGTGAGCACTGTGCCTCAGACATGCTGGAGCAACCCAGGCACACACGTTCATGTAGACACAAAGGCAGGTTTGCACATATTACTGACCCAGTCCATTGCTGAGACCCACAGACACAAATGCAGTCCAAGTCTCTCCTTCAACTCCTTCTCCTCCATTAAGCCTATAGCCCAGTTCTGACC